AGAAAGAAAGAAAAATTCTAGGGGCCAGTGAGATGGCTCAGTAGAATAAGCACTTACCTGGAAAGCTTAAGGGCCTGAGTTCAATCCCTGGTTCCGGGGCAAAAAAAAAAAAAAAAAAAACAAACCAACCAACCAAACAAACAAACAAAACCTATGACTTTTTAAATTCAGAGATGGCACATAAAAAAAGAAAAGAAAAATTCTGCTTGGAATCCTGAAAGTTACACTCATCCATGCTGTCCATTTGGGCAAATGGCCATGGAAATATAAACTTTTCTCAGTCACTACCAGGAGAAAATGATGAGGAGCATTTTGTGTCCATAAACTCTTTTTATACACATGTGGAAAGACAGAGGATGTAACTGGAACGCCAACCTAACTGGGAAACAGCCTATCAAAAATGACAGTTAACTTCAGATGGAAAATAAACACTGGACTCTGTCCCTATTTGAGTGCCTTAGCCAGGAGACCCCGCAGGACATGTATGACTTTGCTAGGTGGATTTCAGTGGCATCTCTTTAGAAAGGGAAGTCTGAGAATACAACCCTGGAGACCGCAGGAAAGGCTGGCTCCTCCACAGATCCTTCAGTAGTCACTTGGGTTTTATGCAGAATACAGTGCGGGGAAAGTAAAATCTCAGAAAATTTATTTTTATTTTTGGTTTTTTAAGGCAGGGTCTCGCTATGCAGTTCAGGCTGGCCTTGAGCTCACTTTATAGCCCAGGCTGGTCTTGAACTTGCAAGGATCTTCCTGCCTCAGCCTCCGGAGTGCTGGGATTACAGCCCTGAGCCACCACACCGGGTATTCTCAGCAAATTTAGCAGAAAGATTTAAAGGGCTTTTATTTAGAGATTGATGAATTGGGCAGCATCCTGTCTAATGAAAGAGAAGCTATTCTGATGAATTGGGGGGCAGGGTTTGTAAGCTGAGAAAAGGTGAAAAACATAGAAACAGAGAGCAAAGAGTGGACTGGAGGGGGGTTAAAAGTTAGCTTCTTTATAATAGTTAAAGCAGAGAGGCCTGCCTTGTCCCCTTCTGATTGGTACTTTAACCTCCTGTTCTTCTACAAACCAGCCTATTTTATACTTCAGCTTGAGTACATGGCAGTTAGCATGAGTAACTCCACTCTGGTTAGGTCAGTTTTGTTGGGCTTAGTACAGGAACTTGGCCCCCAAAAAGGGGTTTCCATAAATTTAACACCAGCCATCCAGCAAGCAAGAGATGCTTATGACTCATCAGGATGACCACTCAAGGACATCTTGCTTGAAGCTACGAATCCTTTGCTCTTTTGAGGTAAGAAAGTCAGTCAGTTTGGCTGCTTAATGAATTACTTGGAATTAACACTATTGACATTTGTAACTAGGAAGACAATATTTGTAAAAAGGAAGGAGAAATAAACATTAACAATGGCCTTAGGATATATTTTATGTATAAAATGATGACAAAGGATAAAGACTAAATCCAAAACTTCTGTTTAAACACTAGTTCTAGACTACTGAAGAGGGCCACATTTTTACAGAATGAAGGGAGCATGGCTCCAGAGTTGGTCCTACACTGAAGCCTCAGGTCTGTCACACAGCTACAAGGCCTTGCACCGGCGCCCGAACTTCCCTGGCTCTTCCTTTCAGTAACAGAAGAATGGTACACCATCTTGTAGGGCTGTGGTGATCATTCACTAATTACTGTAGCATGTCAGGCTCCATAAAACATAGGTGTTGATCTCTCAGAGCAGATGAAAGCTCGGTGTGAGGAAGTGGTGTGGACGGCTGAGTGGGAAGTGCAGGGATGACTAATCAAAGCTTACTGAGCTGGCAAAATGCGGGCTTTGGTCGTGACACCTGATCCAAAGCCTCAGGCACCGCCTCTGCTGCTCACATGCTGCTCTGCCGGGAAGCTGTCTGTTATGGTTTGTGTCTAGGTGTCCCCACCAAAGCCTCATGCAGTCTTGGGGCAGCTTCTGGAGTTTGTGATTGATCACTGTGGGTGTGGATGCTGCCCCTGCCCTGGGGCAGGTAATTTGCATTACAATGTAAGGAGGGAAGAGAAGCTGGCTGGTTGAGCTGCTGCTACCCCTCCCTTGTGCTCTCGCTCTTTGCCACCACCATGAAAGGTTGCTTTTTGCTCTGTGCTGCTCTGCGTTGGACCCAGCTGAGTATGGACTGAAACCTCCAGTAACTGTGAGCTAAATAAACCTTTCCTTCCTTCATTTTGAGTGTCGGCTATTTGTCCCAGCAAGGAGAGAAGAGTACCTAAGACACTGTCCCTCACCCGGCGACCTCCGGTAGCCCACGCCGGGCTAAGAAGCACCAGATGTTATTCAACAATCACTATCAAATCTCCTGAGCAGTGCTATGTGGGCCCGCCTACTAGGCGTATTGTACTTAATATATACCAATGAATTTACCAAATAGTTGAGGCAGCACTGAAGCACCGTCAGAGTAGGCGATGTATTTCCACTGGCTGGTCCGAAGCATGTAGGTAGAAGCGTTTGCATTGCACCCGTGGTATTCACTCAGAATCCAGGGTGGATGAAAGTCTGTAAGTTGATGTTCATTCTTCACCACTTCTGATGATAACGGCAACAAAGAGTATCCACTCAGGTTCTGAGGCACAGGAATTCCAGCGATATCTTCATAGCAAAAACAGCAACATTTTCTTAAACAACTTATTCTTTCATTAATTGAACATTTCTTTTGTTTTTCTTCTTGTTATTGATGCAGGGTCTCACTACACAGTGCAGACTCATAGTGACCCTCCTGTCTTAGCTTCCCCAGTGCTAGGACTACGGGCGTGTGCCACCACACCCAGTTCCAGGGGGGCAGGGCATGTGGCACTGGGGATCAAACTTGTGCTTGCCAGTCAGGCGCTTAGGCTGCTGAGCTGTCTCCCCAGCCTGAGCTGAACATTTCTACATGATACTTATATATTCTCTATCATTAAAGATCACAGGGATCATTCTTAATTTACTAGCATTTCTAAAACATACCTGGAGAATCCTGAATCATACTGATTTAGGAAAAATAATGTATTTTTTAGTCTACCAAATACAGACACATAGAGAGGTTAGGCATGGTGGTGTACGCATATACTCCCAGCGCTCCAGAGGCTGAGGTAGAAGGATCACCATGAGTTCAAGGCTGTCTTGGGCTATAGAGTGAGCTCAAGCCAGCATGAATTATATAGCAAGACCCTTCTCAAAGACCAGACTGAACCAAACAAATACAGACAGACAGAACCATAGAATAAGAAATGTACACTTTCAAAAGAGAGTCAACGTAGACTTCATAGAAATAGACTACTAGGTTAAGATGTTTACTCTGTTACCATGCAGCCTGGAGCATGTTACTGACTTTTTCAAACAGATTCCTCATTTGTTGGGAGGGATCATAACAGCTCTTGTATCCCATAGATTCATTTTAGGTTTAAATAAGATAATTTATATAAACTTCTAAGGACAGGGCCTGACATATAAGAGCCCTTACTAAATATCATCAGTCTTTTTATTTTTTCTTAATCTTTTATTTATTTATGTATTTGGTACAGGGTCTTACTACGCAGCTAGGACTCATAGTGATCCTCCTGTCTCATCCTCCCCAGCACTGGAGTTACAGGTGTGTGCCACCATGTTCGGACTCGGTGGCCAGCCTGGCATGCAGCACTGGGGATCGAACAAAGGGATCGAACCTAGATCCTTGCACTTGCCAGACAGGTGCTTAGACTGCCCTAAGCTATCTCCCCAACCCCAGTCTTTTATTTTCTGATTAAATAATTGCAGTTGTTTTTCCAACTTTGTTAGACGGGATATTAATAAGACCTTATCATGCTTCCCTGGCAAGTGCAGGGGCATGAGTTCAATCCCCAATTCTGGAAAAAAAAAAAAGCCAAGACCTTATCTAAGAAAGGGCTTTAGTAATTGCTATGTCTACAAACAATGGTTCAACAATAAAGTAGGCAGATTTATTATAGATGTGAAATTATTGCAGATGTGTATTATAAATCTATAAAAGTGGTACGCAGTTTATACCTTATGTCCCAGTTACTGGAGACAAAGCTTTTTCTATTCTCTATAGCATCTTTAAGGAAACTAGTATTTTGTAGGAATCTTGGCTTATACTGTCTTAAGTAAACTAACTTATTTTTTACTATTGAACGCAGATACATGGACCATAAATATGAGAACTGTTTGATACAGAAAGAGATTATATAGTTAAAAACTGCCTGTGTCTTGGAATGCAGACTGATTCTGTATCACAGTTACCACTGGTTGTGGCTACACAGTCAGGATGGCCCCATAAGGACCCTGAAGTTGTTTCTCCAACTCTTTTTCCAACTGTTCTCAATGCTCCATGTTTTAAATATTCCCAATAAAAAATGAGGAACATGGTGCTCATCTGCTGCTAGATTTGAGCTACTTTATATTCCCCGCAGCTGCATCTAAGAAGGCTATTGCTAGTAAAAGACTTTAATTTTTCTCAATCTTTGTAAACTCTATGGTTGAAATAAAAACTATGCTCTGGTTTTAATAGTTTTATTGAATACTGAGTATGAAATTTAAAAGTAAGTATATTGGGGCCGGCGAGATAGCTCAGCAGACTAAAGTGCCTGCTTACACAAGCTTAGGCAAGCACAGGGACCACAGTTCAGTCCCTGGCACCACATGCTGTGCCAGCCCTGCCCCCAGGGAGGGCTGAGCCAGCCAGAGTCCAGTCATGGTGGCACATACCTGTAACCCCAGTGCTGGGGAGGCTGAAACAGGAGGATCACCATGAGTCTGAGCTGCGTAGTAAGACTCTACAACAACCAAATACATTAAAAAAAAAAAGTATTTTGACCATTTGCATACATTCTGTTGTGAACTGCTTGATAGAAGCCTTTTGTTCAGTTAGCTAGTAGGTAATTTCTGCCTTACAGATTTGTAACAGCTTTATAGATACTAGACCTTTATTATTTATTTATCATTTGTTATTTATGAAAAGGTTTCTTTTAAATAAGCAATTCAATCAGCAATGTTGTCTGCTGGCTTCAACTCAGGGTTCTGTTTCCACTTCCTCTGTGGTGACCATTTAGTGAAAAGCATGCTTCTGTGACTTACATAAAGACGGAGGCTCATGTATGCTAGTCCTTCTACCTGCTGCCCTCAATCATATTCTCCTTCTGATAATACAGCGTATTTATTATGAAACCCATCACAAGCTGTGTAAGCCCTGAAGATAACAGGCTAGTTTCAGTTTAGAACTGGGAAGACACTTATATTTGACTTAACTTCTTTTGTTGTTTAGAAGCAGTCTAATCAGCATATGATTTAAGTGTTGTTAAAACAAAATATACTCTTGCAAGGAATGTGACTCAGAAGAACTCTTCCTGTGCCAGTAATCTTATGAAAGAGAAGAATAAATAAGGATATGAAAGTTTGAGTTTTAGAAAATTGCAGTTGATGAATTGAAAGAAAAATCCAAAAAACCCCAAAACCCTTCCATCCATTTTTTAAATTATTTATTTATTATTTTAGGGAAGGGTCTACATACAGGGTGTTCAGGGTCTCACTACTGGATCAGACTTGTAGTGATCCATCTGTTTTCAGCCTCCCAAGTGCTGGGATTACAGGCGTGCACCACCACGCCCCAGGTGTACACCACCATGCCCACCTTCCATCCATTATAGCCAACCCTTACACCACTGCCAGAGGAGCAGGATTTGCATACAAAGGTGTTTCTGATAATAAGAAATTCTTATCATGTCACACAAACCAGGGAGTGTCAAATAGTCTGGAAAGAAAATGTTTAGATTTTAGGAAGACAATGGTAGACAGTCAAATGCTATCCAAATCATTCATAAAGTTATAGGCTTGAATGTCTCAGCTTACGGTCATATCCTGATTGTAAATCTTCTGAAGGGTAAATGACTAAAAGTGAGTGAAGGCCACAGGAACCTCTGGAATATTTTCTTCCCTCTTCAGAGTATGACTGTGACTCAATCAAATGAGTTGCTCAAGGTCAAAGCAAGTCAGGGGGGCTACAGGTTACTGTTCTTGTTCCTTGCCCAGGATTATTACAAATAAATGTAGAATCAGCTTACTTACCAAGCATAGTAGGGTAAATATCCACAAGAGAAACCACACTTGGTACTTGTAGGTTGGCCTTAATCCCTGGTCCCATGAGCAGAAGCGGAACATGAGCACTGGCTTCATACATACTCATTTTATAAAACTGTCGGTGTTCCATGGCCAGCTCACCGTGGTCTGAGGTGTATATGACAATAGTTTTCTGAAGAAGATCTAGCTGGCGGAGAGCCAAAATAATCTGACCTACAATGGGATCAAGACAATGCTCTTAATTAACTTTTAGCTCATGGTGTACCAATTAAGTTCGTGAAAAAGTCTACCTTTAAACGTTTGTAGGAACGCTCAACATCTGAGTATCATCTAGAGTTTGATGTGTTTTCCTTCTCAGTTGACAAACTAGAGAGGGGAAGAAGAAAATGCAACGCCCAGAGGAATCCTTGCTCAAAGCTTCTTTATCTGAAGATCATGCTGCTTGCTTTCTGCTTCTATCAGGAAATTTTATGAGGACCGGGCGGGCATCTGGCATTAGGGCCTCGAATGTGCCAAGAACAGCGAGTCTGGTCATCAGCACTACACACGAAGGTGGATACCCCCAAGTGCTGCACAACAGGACGTCATAAGTGTGATCATAGTTCCTTTTTCCTGCTCCCTTTCCTCCTAACCACCTTATAGTCAAAATATTTAGAAATAAAGGCAGTTCTGGCACTTAAGTACATTGTATATTTTATACATGGCCAAGATGAAGCTTCTTCACCAAAAGCAGCTCAGGCAAGCCAAAAGGCTGGATGCCCCTTCTCTGATTTAAGCAGCTGTCAGTTCAGGCTCAGGTGGTTGGCTAAGGGGTATGGGAGTTCCACCTTTGAAGAGGGCGGGAGGCAGTGGAGATGGTTTACAAGTGTGACTTAGCATATTTCTGGACAGGGAATAACTAGACACTGAACTTAGACCAGTCCCTTTGATCAGTCTCTTAGTGTGTTAAATTTCTTCTTTATTGTAATTGAGAGAATTATAATAAGCCAAGGTCCAGAGACAGGGTGATTTCCTGTGTTGGTAGTGCCTGAATCTGGGTTCTAAGGGTTTATAAGAAGCTCCACAGATTCTGAAGTTCAGTTAGAGTGAACACCAAGTGTTCTATGAGAAGTTACTCATGGTGTTAAGACTCTCGTGACCCTTCCACGGGACAAGTGGAACAGCTTCCTTCCAAGCCTTGCTCTGCTCCTTCTTTCCTTTCATAGCATCCTGCCATGCTGATGGCTTTTTAACTGACCTCTGACCACATGTAAGCCCTGTTCAGCATGCACTGAGCTATAGTCAAAATGGATCAAAGAGTTTAATATTAAAACAGAAATACTAAATCTTCTGGAGGAAAAAGGAGGTAGAAATTTTAAAGCCATAGGGGTAGGTGGAAATTCATGAACAAAAACTAAACTGCATGGGAGATACTTCAAAGACTCAACAACTGGGATCTCATCTTTCTGAAAAGTTCCAGCATATCAAAAGAAAGCACCAAAAGAGTAAATAGAAAACCCACAGATCAGGAAAAAATTATAGCTGATGGTCCCTCTGACAAAGGACTTCTATCTAAAACATATAAGGAATTTAAAAAAGTCAGGCTCCCAAAATTCAAAGACCCATTCCAAAAATGGGCATCTGAGATAAATACACACTTCTCAGAAGAAAAAGTACAAATGGCAAATAAATATATGAAATAATGTCCAACATCATTGGCCATTCAAGAAATGCAAATTAAAACAACACTGAGATTCCATCTCACCCCAGAAAGAATGGCTATCATCAAGAGGCTGTATGCATTTTTTAAAATTTTTTTTATAAATTTAGGACAGGACCTACAGGGTCTCACTACATAGATCAGACTCATAGTGATTCTCCTGTTTTTCAGCCTCCCCAGTGCTGGGACTACAGGTGTGTGCTACCACGTCCAGTCTCAATCACCATCTCAGCATGCTCCAGGGGCAGGGCCAGCACAGCAAGCCAGGGATCAAACCCCAGCCTCTGTGCTCTGCTGAAGCAGGTGCTTTAGTTCACTGAGCTATGTGGCTGGCCCTTGGCTATCATCAAAAAGTCAACCAATAGCAAATGCTGGGGAGACTGTGGGGAAGAAGGAACCTTTCTCCACTGTTGGTGGGAATACAGACTGGTACAACCACTATGGAAATCAGTGGAGCGATGCCTCAAAAAGCTGGGATTGGAGATTCCATTCAGCCCAGCTATTCCTGTAAATCACAGCTAAATCTTGGAAACAATCCAAATGTCCATCAGAAAGGAACAGATAAAAAGATGTGGAGTAGTTATACAATGGAGTATTACTAGCTATAAAGAAAGATAAATTTAAGGATTTTATAGGTAAATGGATGCAACTAGAGACCATACGCATAAGTGAAATAAATCAGAATCACATATGCAAACATTGTACTGTGTCACTAGTTTCAGTACCTGAGTCAATAAAATCTGAGCAGTACCATAGATACTGTGAAGAGGAAAGAAACTGTTCAAAGGGGAGGGAAAAACTGGGATGAGGAAAAGGACAAGAAGGAAAGAGGGAAAAGCTACATTTCTATATGTATGTAGGATGGTTTGGATAACTGTGCTGCTTGTTTTTGCTGGCCTATAGAGCAGTCTATGCTTAAATTTTTCCTTTCCTTTTCTTGTCCTTTTAAATTTCTTATAACATTTCCCCCTAATTTTTAAAGCTTATATCTGATAATCAGGACAACTAATTTGAAGGCAACATTATGCAATACAGCAACCATTGTTGAATTCCTATTGATTTGTTTGGTCAAGTTCTGTATCGCTTCTAATATTTTCTCCTATTTTGTATTCTTTCTTGATAATAATAATAATAATAATAATAATAATAATAATAATACTTTCAGAACTTCCCACTGCCTTCAGCAGGACACACACGGCCCCTGGTTGCCCTCCAAGCTCAGCAGGCTCTGCTGCCTCCTCCACCTTTACCTCCCCACAATCTCTAACTTCTCAGATTCCTCCTCTACATACCAAATCCATTCACAATTTCCTGCCTTTGTCCGCACCGCTTTTCAAGTCAACTGCCTTTTCTCCCACCTCTCACAGATTCCCGTTGCTCCTGTCTGCCCCAGCTCCAGAGGACCTCTGTTACAGTGAGTCACTCCATCCTCCAAGAGCCCGGTCCTTTGTACAGTTACAACGATACATCAACAACAACAGTTACAACAACATGCTGTAATCTCTTGTGCTTACACTCATTCCCTAAATGTTTCCTGCGCACTTACTATGTGCCAGGCACCGCATGCACAACAGAAGTGATGCTGAATGTGACCGAATGCCTCCACCCTCATGAAGCATGCATCTCTAGGAGGGACAGCAGGTGAACAAGCAGAAAGACTCCCAAAATAGTGCTGTGATGTCACCTCGCAATAATGTATAAATGGAGTGCCGAGGCTGGTGTGCGACACATCTGAGGAGGTGCTACTTGAGCTGAGAGCTAAAGGCCGAGAATAAGCCGGTCATGTAAAAAAGCAAAAAGAGGGAAGGGCGTTCTATGCAGAGGAAGGAGAAAATGTAAAGGCCTCAAAGTAAAAAACCAAGTGTCACTAACATGATGTAATAGTATTTAACAGACTTTAACAGTACTTAACACCATGCCCGGTATAAATATGATTTGGTGACCAGACCAGCATAGATTTTAAAAGAAAGATGTTCTCTACACTTTGTAACTTGAAGTATAAGCAAGCCACTGCTTGTGTTTTTCCCCCTGAAGAGACATGAAGAACAGTATTTTTGCTTCCAGGCAGCAAGGTTATATAAGTTTTCACTTTAGTAGACGCAGATGATGGCTGGTTGGAAGCTGCTGAAAGCAATTTGTAGAGACAAATGGATAAACAGTCCCTGACATCAGATAACAGCGATGCGACACAATTCGATGGAAGCCGTGGGCTTAGATTAAAACACTCCAAATAGTGCTTGTAATAACACCAAGTACTTGGAAACTCCTTATAACTCTTTCAATACTATAACTTGCTATATTATAAATATGCATGTTTTTTGCTTTCTGGGGCATACTTTGTTTTGTTTTGTTCGTACCAGGGATCAAACTCATGACCTTGTGCTTGCCAGGGAGGTGCTTATACCGCTGAGCTATCTCCCTGGCCCCATACTTTTTTACTTTCCCAATAAATGCTTTTAACAAATAATCGCTCACTGTTCAAATAATCAAAACCCTTAAGGTTTTCTTTATACAAAAGAGGTGCTACCCCTGCTCACAAATGCAGTTATGCTCAGCTACAAAGTGCAGCAAATAAATAATTCAGTGTTATAGAAGTAACTTTTTTGTTGTTGCCTTTTTGATACAGGGTCTTGCTATGCTTCCCAAGCTGGCCTTGAACTTTCAGTGATCTTCCTGCCTCAGCCTCTCAAGTGCTAGGATTACAGGTGTGCACCACTTTACCAGACTATAAAAATAACCTATTATAAAATAGCTATTATTCTTAAAAGCAGGGTTGCACCATGTATGACGTAGAAACTGCCACAACTCTACAGGTGAACAGGAAAAACCCTTGGCAGTCATCTAAGGGAGGCAAGGTTGGTTTTGAGCTGCCTTTGAACTTAAATGAAGGTAAAAAATTCAATATAATTATGGTCCAGATTTGCTCAGGGCGACTGAGTTCAGCTTTAGTTTAGCTGCACTATAAAGAACAAAGGGAGGAGAATGGATTCATTTTGTAGCATTACAAGTGTGGAAGGAGTCATAAGACTCAACGAGTAAACTTCGCTGTCTCTTCAGCATCTGAGTAGCCTTCCAGTTACTTGTCATACACAGACCCATGTTCAGCTGAACATGGACTCTTGCTTAAGGCTGGCAGAAGCTATTGAGACTTTCTGAATAATTAGAAAGAGCTTTTTATTCTTTTATTAATGAATGGTATCCAATTTTTATGTGTCCAGATTCCTACAGTTCTAAGCCTAAAATATCTGAGCAACTGTACTAAGAAATATCTGAAATGTTCAAGCACATCCCAACCCGCATGAGCACAGTTTGTTGGAAAAATATTATACTTTTCTTCATTGAATTGCTTATTAATTATGTCACCCACCAAGCATGGCATCTGCCTCAGCACACATAGCGTAATAGAAAGCTCTAATGTTCTTAATTTCTTTGTCTGTAAACGTCCCAGTGCAGTTTTTTGTATAAGAAGAATAATAATCTACAGGGTGCATTTCTGACAGAGGCAGCCACTTGGGGACTGTGACGACATCATGAGATACCTAAAAAGGGGAGAAAGATGTAGTTAGCATTAGACACGTGGTAGTACCCTCTTTTAAGAAACATGTATAATGAACAGCACAATATTTAATTACTTAGAATGGTAGAAAAGAATGATCAGAAAATATGAATAAAAGCACAGGAAATACTTAAAGTACGAACACAGTTTTTTGGGTTTTTTTGGTACTGGGGATTGAACTCAGGACCTTGCGCTTGCCAGGCAGGCACTTACGTAGCTGAGCTATCTCCCTGTCCTGAAACAAATTGTTAATGAAGCTTGAGTATCCTTCATTTGAAATATTTGGAAGCAGAAGCTATTGAGATTTACTTAACTACCTAGAGGTACAATGGGGATGGGCTTCACTTTTCATGTCTGTCTTGTGTACACAAAAGATAACTTTTGGGCTGGGGCGATCGCTTGGTGGCCTAAGCACCGGGCTGGCAAGCGCAAGGACCTGGAACCCTGGGCCTGCAGTGCCGGCCCTGAAACTGGGTCGGTGGCTCATGCCTGCTGGGGAGGCTGAGACAGGAGGATCGCTGTGAGGCGGAGCTGCATAGCAAGGCCCTGTACCAAATAAATAAATAAATAAATAAATAAATAAATAAATGATTAAAAAAGTAATAGAAAAAGAAGGTAACTTTTATACAGTATGTTTAGTGTACCTGTGTTTTGACGGAAACCTTTTACATGGTCAGGTAGAGAGTTTTCACTTATAGTATCACCCTGATGTCTGAAAATTTTATGGTTTGGAGCATTTCAGATTTTGGAATTTTGGATAAGGATGCTCAACCTGTATTCCAAAAACAACAAAAAGTAAACACTAGTATTTGCATAAATACTAAGATAGTTGTGGGAAAATTATTTTAAAATGTAGGTCAATGAAATATGTGCTATATTAGACAATCTAGTGTCCAGAAAAATGTCCCACTACTTTACTATTATTATTAGTTTTTGGTTTATTGAGACAGGGCCTCTCTGTGTAGTTCAGTCTAGCCTTGGACTCAGGGCAATCCTCCTGCCTCAGCCTCCTGAGTGCTGGGATCACAGGTGTGTGACAGCATACTCAGCTCCAAGTGCTTTACTACATAGTTACATGACCAATACAAAGCTTCAAAATCAGTACTAGAAATACAGATTCTCTAAAATATAGTGAATTAGGGGCTGGGGATATAGATCAGTGGTATAAGCACCAGCCTGGCAAGTGCAAAGTCCCAAGTTCGATCTTCAGTACCCCCCCACAAAGATAGTGACATAAATCACTAGTAAAAATGTCCATATCTAATTAGCCAAATACTTATTAAAATGAAATACAACTTTGTAAAAAAATGTATTTAGTACAGGGTCTACGGGGTCTACCGGTCTCACTGTGTAGATTGGACTCATAGTGATTCTCCTGTTTTCAGCCTCCCAAGTGCTGGGATTACAGGCACATACCACCATGCCCAGTCTCAGTTGCTGGGGTTGGGGCTGGCATAGCATGCCAGGGATTGAACCCCAACTGCTGTGCTCTGCCTTAGCAGGTGCTTTAGTCTGCTGAGCTATCTGGCTGCTCACGATATATATATTTAAAATTTTGACAAAACAATTGTTTTAGTTTTAATTCATACCTATCTTTTAGTGATATCATTTTCAAAAAGTCCAAGTGTTTTTTTATTATTTAGTTGAGAGTTATTTAACTCATTTTGCAAACTATGAATTTTGAAAATGGAACCACTTAGTATTTTTGAACAAGATATGAGACTGAACACTATGACACTATTTCCTGTAAGACAAGGTGCAATGAAGAGTGTTTCTCAGTAGAGATTCTGAGGTACCTGAAAAGCTGCACATTTCAGAGCTACACATGCCAAAATACAGGTAGTTCTTGGATCATGTGGTTCTGATTTGCATACATTTCAGATTAGTTAAACCTCATTGCTGGGGCTAGGGAGAGAGCTCAGTAGAATAAGCGCCTGCCTGGCAAGTGCAGGGTCCAGAGTTTAATCCCTGGTACCACAAAAACAAAAAAATAAATAAATAAAATAAAATAAAAATAAAAATAAATAAAAACCACATTGCTACAGTTTAGTTAAAATCATGTTTCCCCCACAAAGAAGGTTCAAATTCCAGTTAGTAACTCTAACTGCATAAATTACAACTTTTCACACCTTTAGGCTGCTAGCTCTTTAGATTACGAAGCACTACTAAGTCATATGTGCATTACATTCAGTGGCTAACGGTGGAGTTCTTTCAAAGGATGGTGACTGGCGTGTGCACAGTGCCGTACACGCCTGGACTAGTTAGTTCCCTCCCAGGGCTCGTGCCATGACCAGTTTACCGAATGGATAATCAGAAAAGGAACTGGCCAATGAAGATGGGTACGCAGTAAAGATATGAAAGTCATAAAGCTGGAAGTGAATTTCAAATCAAATATACATGAAGTTACGGAAGAAGGGAGCATGCTGGGGACAATGACACTGCTGCCACTCCAAAGACTCCAGGCATGGAGAGGAAGTGAAGGCAGACGACTGACACGAAGGTCTCATGATGACGACCTTATTGTGTTCCAGAGAAGGTGAGAATGGTAAAATGTTCTCAATATGGAACTCTGAGAGAGAGAGAGAGAGAGAGAGAGAGAGAGAGAGAGAGAGAGACAGACAGACACACGCTGGGTCCAGACACGAGCACTGTGCTAACTACTCTACTCTGTTATTTTCTTTTTCAAACACATTAATCCTCATTGTTTGTAGTGTTTTCAAGATTCAAAAATATGTTTTCCTATTTGTTTTCATTTACAACTGCCCATGCTAAGAAAATATCTTCCAGTTTCTCTTTTCATAGATGTACTATCCAGAAATATATTCAATTCTGAAGCAGGCTTCCAAGTTTTAACACATTAGGTTTTATAAAACTGCTCCTGTTGTTTTTATCAAAGAAGTGATCAGCCCAGTCTATACGCACACTTTTCAGATTTTTCTTTAACAGTGATTGAGAACTATGACATTATTTCCTGTAAAATAAGGTGCAGTTAAATGAGATAACAGCAATAAACTACACATATGACGCCAACTTCTACTTTTGAATGCGCAGAGCGCACTTACTTTTTCAAGCCAATAGAGAGAGGTGCGGAATGTTGAGGACCCAAAGTTTTCTCCGGAGGAAGGTGAAGGGTAGGGGTGCGGTAAATTCAAGCCCAGGTAGAGAACAAACGGCTCCGTCTGGTTAACTCCTTGTGTTCGTAGCCACGCCACCGCCGCATCCACGTTCTTCCAGTCCTTGGCCATCACTCGCACTTCATGCTGGCTGGGGACGAGCTCCGCCGTCGGCCGGCCTTCCTGCCTGAGCGCGAAAGCCACGTCCCGCGTCCACGCTTCCACGCGGTTGCTGCGGAGCCAGAGGACAGGCGCCAGGCGCCGTAAGACGTTTTTAAGGCTCTAAACACGGACTGAGTGTACACCTAGGAAATGAGCTTGGAAATCAGTGCGATCCGATCGTGTCTATGTTCCGAATGGTCATACTGGAAAGCAATGAGGGCCAAGAGCTTGGCTCAGCAGACCTGCGCTCGCCCAGGGTGCGCAGGTCCCGGCTCGATCCCCAGCACCGAAGGAAACACTGAGCTCTGGCAGGCCTGGCGAGTGAGTGAGACGACCTGGGCCGAGGGATCCTGAATAGACCCAGAGCACAGGCCCGGCGAGTGAGTGAGACAACCCGGGGCCCACGGATCTTCATTCGACCCTGGCTGCAGGCCCAGCAGGG